TATAGGCAGATTAAATATTTAAAAGGCAAATAAATGGCACAACAGATAAAATCCTTGAGAAATTTTTGGGTTCATATTTAAATGTGAGACAGTTCAAAGTAAGAATTGCAGAGTGTCCAGCTGCTTAAACTTTTTCAGTATTACCTCTTAATCATCGTATTTTGCCTAGCCTAGGTGTATTTCAGCCTGTCAACAAAGTGTTTATAGATCACAAAAAGTCTTTAGTCTTTAATGACAGATGTTATGTAAATACAGTTATTCAAGTAGAATATGTGAGTTTTGGGATCCAAAAATGGAAGACAGCTGACAACCTCAGACAGTGGAGGTGCAGAACCCAGCTGTGTGCAGCCAAACCCCACAGACAGCAACAGTCCATAAAGGGGTCTTAGGGGAAAAGGAGCAAACTAAACAACATGGTCCCTCAACCCAAATAAATTATAAGAAATAAGGGAGAGATTTCTTCTCTCCCTACATTGCAGCTATTGATGCTTTCAATTTAAAAGCACATATGAAACAAAAAAGAGCATAGGCAGGGAAAACTGGAAGCCGAATGGTTTAATGATACTGCCTGTTCACAAAGAGCTAAGTGATTTAAGAATTCAGTTCTAGTGACTCTATCCAACGTCTGTCTTTTAAGTGTACTTACAATTTAAGCAGTTCAATGTCATTTAGGTAAAAATTTGGTATCAATTTAGGTGTCAAAGTGATCTCAATAGAAATTGGTTTAGCTTGTCTCGTGTGTGTTCTCTTAAGAAGTCATCTACCGTTTGCCTTCATATCTATGAGAGAAATGATCTGTAAAAGAGACCTTTGTTAGGCTAAAGGCCTGTAAATATTTTATGTTCTTTGCTGCAAAAATTTGTAGATCCATAAGTGTAGAAAATGTTTTCTGTCCCAGAGACCCGTTGGCTAAAGGAATCAGTCTTAGGCGGCTGTTTCCAGCCAGATCATAATTGTTTGACCATTTGGCCTAAATGATTTTTATCTCAGGGACATTATTTCCCAGGGAGTAGAAACCCATTAAAAAAAGAATTGCTAACATGGGCACTACCTGAGCCATTGTTGTTTGTCTCAGAAAGGCTAATGATTGCATAAACATTGAAGTCCATCTTCCCCTCCCCAGACAGTTCCCTGTAGCCAGGGCTCCAGCACTTTGGTGAGTAGTTTGTGCTACTGCTGCTTTGCAGGCAGCGGTACATGAGTTGTTTTCTTCTGTGCCACCAACCTGGCATCTTGCAGAAACATGAAGTTTAAAGCAAAGAATCTGGAAACTTCCAACAACAGCTTAATTAACTGGTCCTTAACACTTCTGATTTGTGTAATATATACATTGCCATCTAAACCAGAAATCCTTTGGATGACCAGCATCCTGGCAGCTTAAGAATGCATCACTTGTGCAGAGAAGGTGGATACAAAATTTGAAAAGTTTAAGTTTGCTGTAGTATTTCCTTTAGTCATGAGTTGTAAACCCTTTAGAATGAAATATTTTCTTTCTGTGCCCAGCAGAAGCTTTGTGATGGCTTTTTAGAAGTTTTCTGTTTCAGCATTCAGCTTACAGACAACATATTGGCACTGCTAGAAATTGGCACTGCTAGAAATTCACTTCAACCTTTTGGAAGGTTTAACTGTATAAAGCTCAGCTGCATTAGCAACCAAAGCATTTTTTTTAATTGACAGCTGAAAGCAAGTAAATAAATTATGCTGAGGCACTAATTACATTATTAATTTTCTAAAACCAAATTATGTTGAGGCACTAGGAGGACTTTTTTAATGTATACGAACTCTACTTTGAGAGTTAAAGAACAGTACATAAATGTATTTTAGAACACAGTATTTAAAGAACAGGATTTCTGAATGCCAGGGAAACTAAAAGTCATCCTCCAACTTTGTGTCATGTAGCCCATTTAAGTAAAAACTGTGTTGTGATGTTGACAAGCAAAAACTCTTTCTGTTTTACCTAAAACATCACTCAGCACGGAGCACCCAGTCAAGGCAATTTAGTTTATTGGAAAGCTGTTGCTGTAGAATGAGATCTATTTAAAATGGCAAAAAGAAGATCTAGTGAAAATACAGCATTGGAGAAATTGGCTGTGTCGGGTTGATGTTAATTGTGTCAATATATGAGATGGAAAGGGTGGTATTGATGGAGTAGATCTTCTAATGAGGTTGAAAGTTAACCAGGATTTAAATTGGGTCATATGGGGAAATGACAATACAGAAACATCTGGTGCAAAGGCAGCCTCTGAAATAAAGTTAACAGTACAGAGCTCGTTCTCAGTCCGGCTGTGGCAACAGCAGGTGCCTGCCGAAGGGGAATGGTATCTCCGCCGTAATCAGTTTAGAGTGTTAAATAACAGAGAGTCACAAAAAAATGTGTTTGCGTCAGATTCAGACAGAGGTAACAGCTCAGTGCTGTGCTGTTTCCTGCCTTATCCTTTCTCATGGTTTATTTTCCCTCTAGGAGAGGATCCAGAAACTCGGCGGTTACGAACTGTGAAAAACATTGCTGATCTTCGACAGAACTTAGAGGAAACGATGTCCAGTTTACGGGGAACCCAGGTCACTCACAGGTAATGGCGTGACTTTGTTCATGAGAAAATGGAAATCATTGTCCTCTTACTTCACATCTCTTAGATCTGGCTGGGCTGCACCCTTGAAAAATGATTAACACTGATAATGGACGATACTGATCTTGTACTTTTTGTCCTTAAAGCACAGATTCTGAATGATGTTCAGTGTTTATTGAGATGTACAATGAGTAATTGATGGTGGCAGGTTGTATATAGAATAATCAGTGCTTGGTAAATGTGTTAGGTGATGTTTGAATATAGGTTACAGTTTAAAATGTTTCTTCATCTTACTCTTGGACAACTTGAGTGCATTACACCCCTCTCCCCCTATGTGTAATATTTTGTTTAAATAAGCAGGTGAACTGTGCTTGACCCACTTGATAAAGTGCATAACTTGAATTCCTCACCAGCCTTTGGACAAACAGATTTTTCTAATATTATTAGTCATCCAGGTATATAACTGCTTTTTCTTTGTAAAGCAGCGTTTGGAAATGTTCAGCAATATTTTAAAAATGCTGTAAATAAACAAGGACTGTTATTTCGTTTAAACATTTTGTGGCTGAGATCTTTACAGTGTTGAACAGGAGGCTTGGGAGAAGAAGCTGTTTGGCCCCTAATGAGGTCGGGGTCCTACTTAGGGCTCAGAGCCCTACGGACTCAGCCCTAAATGAGTTCATTGGGGGAATACTTTGTGGTTTGGCTTTGTATCTAAAACTGAGGCAGAGCTTGCAAAGATGAACTCTCAGTGCTATTTTTCTTTTCAAATTTCAATTAATGTGACAGCTCATTATGATTTAATTGCTATAACCAGAGGATACATACGTTTTTGCAGCATATATGTAACATTATATTGCAAATAGTACAATGCTGCTTATTTTAACGAGGACCTTCAATAAAAAAAAGGTAACGCTATGTTAGTTGAGCAAGAAGGGAAAAGAGGAGTTCATGGGAGTAAGAGATGATGCAGCTATGGATTAGCTGCGAATAAATCAGCTGCAACTAAGCTGCCGAGTGTTCAGGGTGCAGTCTTGCAGTCTATACACATCACCTGAAATCTGATGGGGTGGCGTCCCCATTTTTAAGGTTCCATATAGCAGTCTGCATTTAATCAACTGCCTTTATTTTTTTAAGCACGCTGGAAACTACTTTTGACACCAGCGTCACTACTGAGATAAGCAGTCGCAGCTTTCTCAGAGCACATGCAGGCCATACTAGCATTGCTGTTGGAAGGGATGCAACATATTCACACACTCAAATGTGGAGAATGGAAGATTTCACGTAACTGATGCTTCTCAAAAATTGTATTTACAGGCTGTGACCGAAAAGGCTTTTGTAACTAGAGCTCTATAAATATTATCAATAATTTGAAAAATATATTCAATTAGTGAATATATAAAAATATATTTTGAAAAATAAATTTGATTTGCCTTTTGTCTTATTTTTTTTATTTAATCCTTTCCTCAGTGTGAAATAGTTACCATCTTGATGCTGGACACGTGTCTGGAGTATTAGGACTTTCATGAATGGAGCCAAAAAAAAAGAGAATGTATCAGAAAAATAATACTTCAGCTGGTTTTCCTTTAGTCAGCTTAATATCCCACTCCCTTGCCTAGAGTGGCAAAACCATGGTATAATGGTGTCATATATGATAGAAGATGAAAAAGTTACACTTTGATACTGTGAATAATCCATTAAAAAGTTCCTGCTTAAGTCTTCTCACATCTGTGTTGAACACTTGGTGGCCTCGGTGCAAAAGTGTCATTATTTAAGAACAGTGTTGGAGGAACGGACCTAACCCTCTCAAGGCGTTGTAGTTAATGCTGTTACTTACAGTCTGTAACTTGGTGAGTCTTCAGAGCGTAGGGTCTTGTGACCACCTGAAATCTCACAGCGCTCCCTGTAGCAGGCCCCATTTAATCAAAAGCATTTCTCTTTTCAAGCACATTGGAAACTACGTTTGACACCAACGTCACTACTGAGATAAGTGGCCGCAGCATCCTCAGCCTGACGGGACGACCGACCCCCTTATCGTGGAGACTGGGGCAGTCCAGCCCTCGCCTGCAGGCAGGCGACGCTCCGTCGATGGGAAACGGGTATCCTCCGCGAGGGAACGCCAGCCGCTTCATCAACACGGAGTCAGGGCGTTACGTGTATTCGGCACCTTTGCGGAGGCAGCTAGCGTCTCGCGGTAGCAGCGTCTGCCACGTGGACATCTCGGACAAGGGAAGTGATGAAATCGATCTGGAAGGCATCACCATGGATGCCACCGGCTATATGAGTGATGGGGATGTGCTGGGCAAGAATATCAGGGCTGATGACATCACGAGTGGGTAAGTGCCTTCACTTTTCTTCTTAAATACTGCACTTTATATGGTTCTTCAGTTGTGTTTAATGATGCTGTATTCCCGTGATTATTTGGAGGAAGAAAAAAAAAACAAACCCAAAGATACTCTACTAGTTTTAATAAGTATTTGGAGGGACAGCTGATTATACAGTTCACTTAGTGGGATTTAAGCTGATTTAAGTTTTAAGTGCATGTCAGAAAATATTCCTATATATGAACATAATCTTGCACATGGTTAAATGTATTCCTGAGTCAGGGTTCATTGTGGTCGAGTCAAACACACGCTGCAACATTCATTTATGCCCACAAGATGGAGAGAGTGAGGCGTTTTCTGTACTTATACTGAAACCTTTTGCTGCCTGAACCTTTAGGGGGGACAGTGCACTGGAAGGAAATGAGTTTATACCACTGTGTAGGGTAAAATAGTTGTACACGCGAAATAAAGTCTAAAGACCAAGTTACTGTGCAGAAATATGAACAAATAGGCAAGTTTTTACATCAACATTTTACCTCTGCCTTGACTGGAAAAAGCATTTCTTCTTTGCTCCAAAGTCAGTATTCAGTTCCATACGCCTGTTTTCAGTTCTTTCTACAAAAGTACAGTCATTTTTTCTTAGCTCAAGTACACCAGCGTCAGATTGATGGTAACGCTGATCTTTGAGATGTAAATGGCATATTTATTTTTGAGGCAGCCTTTTTTCTGTCTGACCATCTTACATCCTTTGCTTTTCTGTCATTTTTTTGTAAGTGACATTTCTTGTAGTCTTGGCTTATTTGGAAGATTTAGTGTCTCTTACTGAAACAGAATGCATGGAACGCCACTGCTGCTTTGTCACTAACTTAACCAGTTAAGTTACACAATCTGGAAACCTCCATTAATTCTGTCTGTTGGGAGTATTTGGATGTTTTCACACTGTCCTTATTGAAAAGTCACACACTTTATTTTTAATTCTTTGTTAGGGAAGCATGTGGGAAAGAAGCTGATGCAAGAACCGGTATAAAATTCTGTTTCAGATAAAGCACAATTAGCTGCATTAATAATGCATTGTATCACTAAAAAGCCTTGTGTTTTCCTCAAATAATTCAACGTACACCTGAGTTTTGCAATGTTTATTGTAGTAACAGTTGCTTTTCCTCTGGACTATGACTTTTATTCAAACTCGTGGCTGTAATTTTGGTCTAGAAGAGAGGAAAATAAATTCCAAGTAGTGCCATGGTTTCTATAAAACACCCAGAGTATGAGCCGAGAAGTGTCCCTGGCAGAATTGTGTCAGTTCAGGCTTCTGCTGCTCATATCCTGGAGGAGCCCCAGTCTTTGCAGATCTTTACTTGGTGCATGAAGTTCAGATTCCAGGCTGAGGAAAAGGAAAGAACAAGAAAGCTGTTGAGTTTGTGCCTTCACTCCTCTGTGTATCGTTTCCTTTTCTGTGTCTTATCTGGTCATCCTGTAGGGTAAAAATTGGAAGCCTCTATAGTCGGAAAATATAAGAGTGGTCTTTAGATTCTGGGTCTAAGGGACTGATAATGTAATGAAATGGTTTTGCCAGTTGGTACCTCTGTCACCAAGGCAATGAGTTATATACCAAGGATGATACCAAGAATGAATATAACGTTTAGCAGAAGAGTCATATGCTCCACCACACCTCGTTCCTAGCCTTGAGTGCTAGAACATCTTTAACTGAGTACCTCACTCTTTATTTCCCACTAGTTTTTAGGAGACAACTTTCAGTTTTAACTCATATAACCAGCCACAGATTGATAAATGAGATTTCAATTTAAAGTTCTGAGGACAAGAGGAGTTATGTGTACAAATATATTTTTCTTTTCCACATCTTTTGCCTTTAGCTACAAAGGCCTGTTTTGCTAAATAATGTGAGTTGGTTTATTGATTTATATAGCACTGTTGTAGTCATTGACTAAGTTCCAAGGGCAGAATCTGTATTGTAGGTCATTCCGTCATCAGAAAGTTTTGGCTCCATTTCCAGGTTTTGGGCAGGGTTTGGAGGCTGGGCAGTTTGGAGGTCCACTCGTTGCTGCACCAGTGGGCATTTGGAGGGAGTGTTCCTGGAAGCAGCCCCACAATGTTGGGGTTACATAGTCTGTGGAGAGTAATTGTGTGTGGATTCCCCGAGGGGGGGGTATTGCATTGCAATAACAGCATTGGATATTATCCCAGTGCCAATGGAGGGAGAGAAAAAAATGAGGGTGTTAACTTTTGGTGAATCTTACTGACAACTAATAATGATGGATTACCATCTCCAGTGTGAACAGATGTTTTGGTAGCCTGTTTCATAAGTTATCTTCCCCAATGTCGACTTATTTCCAAAAATAAAAAGTAGGATAGCATCGTGTCTTTGTGGGAGAGGAATAATACACCCCTAAGAAATCAGAGAGGTTGCTTGTAAAGAAAGCATCCGTGTGACTTGCTGCAGAACAAATATCTGAGATCAATGTTAGGGCGAACAGGCCCAGTATTTCCAGAAGCTGAGTTACAGTATGTGGAAAGCAGCACAAGAGGGCATTTATAGCATGAATAGCTCTTTATTAGCTGGTATGTGTTTCACTTTGTCATTTTTCAGAATTGCTACAATCCTGGAGTCTGAAAACCTTGGATCTATGTTTTCATTGGCAAACTGATAGGGAAGGAAGCCAAAATATTTGTTACAGCCAAAATAAATCCAATAGCCAAGATAAATGATTTTAGCCCTGTGATCCTGATGCTTTCTCTGAAATGTACTAGGTCATGGGAAGTTTCGTTTGGCCTTCTTTAATAAGTCTGCTCAAGCAGAGCTCTGGCAGACACCAGGATTGCTTTCATAGGGTTAGGAAGAGTATCTTTTCCAAACGGGCAGAAAATAGCTTTTAAACTAAGAAAGTCTCCAGGGGGTGGATCGAAAGTAAGAAGTAGTCTTATTGTGGGAGCTCAAACATCAACCAAATGACAAAGCAACAGGGCGAGGATTTGTGTGAGGTGGGGAGTAAGCACCCAACCCAGATACTTCGGTGTCTGGCTGAGCTCAAGGCTTCAGAGCCTCAGCAGTAAGTAGTATCTCAAAGCCCAGAGTTGTCTCGCTTGTCCACCCAAAAGATTGTCCCAGGTGGGACATTAACTCTCATGGCTTTTTTGGGTTTGTTCAAAAGGTTTTGTCCACTGTAGTCCCCCTCTAGCTACTAGTAACATGCACATTCCTACCTCTTTTTGTCCTCCGCTCCCCAAGGTCCCTCTAATGAGACGTAGAGTTAATTTCCTTTTTATCTCTCCTTGGAATGCAG